TTCATGTTTCACCTGAGAAAATCCACCAAAGAGAGCAGTTTAATATATGTGGCCTTAACAGCAGGGACAGAAATTTTAGTAACCTCAAAAGAAAATGTGTGGCATCCCTGAAACTTGTGTTACAACAATATTAAATCATTCTTTCCTGAAAGATGTCCCAAAGTCTTTTTGGAAAAATGGAAATTTTAACTGTAAATTGTAAGATGACTTTTTTGAAATGGTATTTGGCTAGGAATTGAAAAATAGGTCTGGTGTACAGAGGCATAACCCACAAAAAGGAAACCTGTGGTCTTTAACTGAATTACTATTCCTTTGAGGGATTAAGCTATTTTAGTTAGAAAAACATTTTTAGTATGGGAATAAATGCACTCATGTTGAAGGAACCCATTATAGCTAAATCTATGGAGATTTTGAACATCTTTCAGATGTGTCCTAATTTATTTTAATTGAATGCTTCCCATGAGTGTTAAAGGACTGGAAAAAATCAAGCAGTTACTTTTTCTATTTTCTATCGTCTTCAGGAAAGTTATTAACCTTCAAGTTAGGGACTCTGTCAGTTTTGTATCACATGATGAACAGTATTATCTTACTCCATAGGGACAAAAGGTTTGGAAGAGCAATCGTTTTGGTCTTGAATGTCTACAGAGCTGAGGACGTAGTTGTCTGTTCCACTGGCTTCAAATACAGAAGAAGCAGTGAAGAGTGACATAGTTGTACGGAGCTGAAAGGGTATGTAATGTTTCACTTCAAGACTGATCTCGTCCTGTACCTAAATGTGTTCGTGTGCCAGGCAGTCTTTGACTTTTGAGGGAAAGTGCTCTCCAAACTGTTACTTTGCCAAGAATCTGTTAACTTGTTCCCTGTGTGAGCTGTTGGCTATGTAGAGCAATTGATGACTGAAACAAAACCTTATTACGGATGTGTAACGCTGTCTATCTAGTTTAGTGCAATTACTTATCCCACTGTAAAAGTCTGGGTTTAGTCTTTTGTTCTCTGTATTGTAATTGAAGAACAGTAATGTAGATAAAGAAGAAAGAATGGTTATGAGAAAAGTTGAGGAGAAAGAAGCAGCAGGATACAGGCAGGACTGGAGCATTTGGTTTAAAACGCAAGAAATGACAAAAGAGTGAAAATGATGTGTTACTAAGGTGACTGGGAGAAAACATCAGCAAAACGGTCTAAGCTATAAATCTGGTTCTAGCAGCTGTGTGACAAATAACTTTGATGGAGATGAGAGTCAGGGTTCCAGGGTCTCTTTAAGTATGAAGTGGTAAGATTGAAACAATGTCTGCGAAAGCAGTGAGATCATTAAAATAGTTTAACAGCTTCCTTGTTGTTCCAGCACATTGGAAAGGAGTCTTCAAAAAATCCTTAGTATAGAACGTGAGTCCACATTCTGCTCCTTGAAGTGAGAGTGCAAGCACCCAACTGCCTTGTCTTAAACTGTTTCCTTTGACATAAGTGGACCCAACACTTGGGTGCTTCAGCAGCCTCCTCAGAGCTTCAGAAAGAGGAGACTTTTGTCCTTTTCTCAGATTACGGAGTGCAGAGATTGCAGTGCCTAATTTTGTTATGTCCTCATGCTCTAATAGTTTGTTTTGCTTTGTCTCACTTATGCAGTGAAGTGCCAGTCACAGTAACCATAAGCCCTTTTTGTTGACCAATTTACATTTTTGACTAGCGATAATTGTCTTTTTATACTTATGGATTGCACTAAAGCTGAATAGGGTATTGTGGGCTATTTGTTCAGCCCTACAAAGAAGTTCTTGTGTGAGCACAGCTCTAACAAATGATCTAAGCGAGCCTGATACAAAATCATTCAAAGTTGTTTTTCTCACTCTTTTAAATCGTTTATGTTTGCTGGTAACTACTCCATGTATTAGGCAAATTTATTTTTTGGATATGGACTCTGTGTCTTTTTCAGCATTCACAAGAAGTGAAGTTCTGTTTAGCAGATGGAATTTTATTTCCTCTGGTGAGCTGTCATGCATTTGGTGTAGACTTGAGAATGTGGACACAGTTAACGAAGGATGACTCCATTTTGGGTCAGACTCCCACTCCAGTTAATCTCTCTGGGGTGACAGTAGTGCAGGACTGGTGGTGATTCTAGTAGGCGTCAAACAGAGCAACAGATCAAGAGAGCTGAGCTTTCTGGATGGACATCCTCCAGTTCCTTATGCTAAGATGCTTTAAGTATAATTAGACTTTGGTAAACAGAGGAGTGTTTTCTGAAACCAGTAAGGGTTTGGTTTCTGAATTGCAGCCCGTTGGGACTTGTCATGTGATAGGTATCAAATCTCCTAGTCAACTGTGTTTTTAAATACAAGTTTTTAGAGCTTTTCTGCAGAATGGTTGAACTTTAAGACTTTCTTAACAAGTATTTACCCTACAGAAGTGTGCAAGGGGGATTATTTATCTGCTTTGCTGTAAACGTTGACTTGTGTACTTGAGGTAGCATTATGCAAAGCTAATCCCAGATTAGTGCCTTTCCAAGCAGGCAGGGTAAAACTGGCTCTGTTAGTTGAGCTTGTGAAAGCTGTAATATGTATGTAGCAACGCACCTGAGATCCCTAGAGACTGATGATTTTTATGTGTCGGTAAGATGTTTAATGGATTGCACTGGAATTCAGTTCATGGAGAGGGAGTGTTGTGCACAGCCTAAATTTTAGCAACAAACATGGAGAGCAGTTTGTATTACAGTAAGTTATCTTTCTTGAAATGTAATTAAGCTGAGAGCAGAGACCAAACCAATTGAGACTTCAATTTTGAAGGCTAGATTTGCACAAGGAAAAAAGATGGATTTCAAAATGAGGAACCTGTGGCTTCCACTGAAGTTGTTGGGTTTTTGAAATGTTTGTTATATTTAAGTCAACAAAAAGTGACTGAAGTTCCCTAAACCAGAACGTTGTTTTTCAGTGTGGCTGTATGCAGAATGACTCTGACGGCTTTTGCTACCTAAGCAGCTTTCTGTGAACAACAGGCTTTCTAACTGTGGATGCCCAATTTAAATATTCCCCTCTGCAATTTGGGCTTTGTGTGTGTAACGTGTGTGTGCGATATACATATGTATGTGTGTATGTAAGCTTATATTGTTTATGTGTATGAATACGTATTTTTATATATAAAAAATAAGCGCATGTAAGTGCAGTCAGTAGAAACAAAACACTCTACCATTTACAGGGACTTACTGTCCTAACGAAATGATGAGATGGCTGAACATCTGATCCTTGTATCGCCGTAGCAGCTGGCCGGTTATCCTCAACTAAGTACTGGTGTAACTCCACTGACTTCCAGAGTGTTGGGCTGCAGGAGAGAAAGAGGTTCACATTTCTCTGGTGTTTGACTAGCAGTTCAGAGCAAGCCTTTGATTGCAAATGACTGCAGAATGATGCTGTAGAGCTCCTACTGCAGCAGGTCAGTCCTCTGTTGTCCTTGACTGACTTCGGAGCTCTTCAGCATTTTTCAGAAGCAACTTTTGCAAGGCTGTTTTATTAATTTTCTTGGTGGTTTGGGTATTCTGGGGCCCAAATTTCAATGAATAAAAATTATAACATGCAAGAGATTAGTTTCTACTAGCTTGTTTAACTAGACAGATTTCTATTTCTGTGCATGTCATTTCAGGAAGGAGGTGTTGGAGGAACGACTCCTTCCCAAGACCTTGGTGCTTTTGACTGTTGGGTTTTAAGTAAAACCTGTTTAAGAATCACATTCTAGCTAGCAATTTTATGTGTATTACAAGTAACGCAGAAGGCTTGTATCTGTTTAGAAGAACATCTGTCTAAAACTGATTTATGAAACCCTGGAAATATTAAATACAGTATCTGAAATCTTTTTAACATTTTATTAAAAAAATTGACAAAATTATTGCAGTCTGAATCAAAGGTGCAATCGCACTCCCATTTACCAAACCAGAGTTGCTGCTTGGCTCTTAAGCCTAACGTAAATCAAAGGGGAAGTATTTTTTTCTGTAGAACTTCAATTTCCTCTAGTAGACAGTTTTATATAACCTGTCATTTTAATATTGCACTACTTTTCTTTCCAACAAAAGCAGCATATCAAAAACTGTAAATCGTGTTTGCTTACAGGGAGAAATGCAATGCAAATAAGATGCTTTAACTTTATGGGATTCTCTTTTCCAAAATAAAATTCCAGAAACTGTTTCAAGATTCAAGAGAGGATTTTTAAAGCAAAGAGTCTGACTGGCTACTTTCCTTGTGTTTGATTGCATAAGAATTGTCAGCTGTGTGTTTTGGTTTTTTTAAAAGAAAAAAAGAAGGTCTTGCAACATTCTGGCTTATGCTTCCAATTATTACACTATGTAGTCTCCTGGATAAGCAAAACCACAGCTGTTCTTTTGGGCTTTTTAAGGCTGATCTCACTAGAGAGAGGCTAAACTATCGGACCGAATGTATGTTTTTCAAAAAAGTTTTCCGTCAGAGAGGTCTTGTCCATTGAAGAGTTTACCTTTTCTGGTTTAGAGATACTAGACTGTGCAAAACACGAGATGCAGTTCTGCATCTTGGTTACCATATTGAGGGCTAATTTTTTTAGACTGTTAGGTTTTTGAGGTCTACTTGCATACTAACTACCTGGAAGCTTAGTGCCAGAACAGATGCTTTCTAATATGAGAATCAAATCTTAAGTGCCTCTCCCTCAGGAATGAACTGAGGTTTGTATGAAGCTCTGCTGCTTCTGGAGCCCAAACAGTGGGCTGATTAGTAGAAGGGATTGTTTAACAAGCTTTTGTTCGGTTGTTGGAAGTGAGAGAGTTTTGTCATTTAAGTGAAAAAGTTGAATTTATGTAGGTGGAAACGTTTAAATCTTTGTCCTTGTGGAATTTGAATCACTTTCTCCTTTTTAATGGTGTAATGCAGGGTAACTGAGATTTGGATTTGGAGAACTGATCGTTGGTTGCCTATATCCTTTGACTATGGAGTCAATGGACTCTTCATAACCAGAAAAGGAGACATTGTGCTTTTTGGTTTTCTTTTGCTGTTAGATCCCCATACGTGACTGATCTATGAAATGGCAGAGAATGGAACAGATTGTGACCAGAGACGCGTAGGAATGATCAAAGAACAGCACAATGGAAACTTTACAGGTAGGTGGAAAATGACTTAATGTTCTCAGCTGGTCAGCTTGGTGTGTAAAATGGCCAGCACCGTACTGAGAAGGCATTCTTCTTGGTGCACTTTATGCCCAGATGATACAAAGGGCCTCAATGCCTGAATCGATCTTGGAAACTTCAGTCATCTCTGAATCTGAAGTCTGGAGGATTTATGTCTTGTAAAGCCACAGAATAGTTTTATGCTATGTATTTCCGTTCAATTTTTTCTTATACTCTTTTCTCCTTCCAAGTTCTTATTCTGTAGTTCATATGCATGTGAGCCCTGTAAAGCTGACTTGGGTGCCAACAGGGGCTGCAACAGGACTGAGCTAAAAAAACTAAACTATGTTGGCAAATATATGGCTGTAGAAGTCAGGCTATACAGCCCCACCCTTTGGCACTGGAAAGTTCGTACTTGGTAATAAAAATCTGGTTTACTCGGGGAGAAATCCAGTTATTAGTCTCCCAATTTCTAGCTTTTCTGTTGACATTTAGCTTCACTATAATTTATCAGTGTCAATGATAAATTACTGACAAAACAGTTAACTACTTCATCTCCTGCCTCACCTCTGTTTTTCCTACTGTTATGTCTGAAGTAGGCTCAGGTTAATGTTTAGGACTCATGAAAAATAACCTGAGAACATTTCACGAAGAGCCTTGTGTCACCAAATTATCTGTGCTGTGTTGTATAGCATAGAAATGATAATCATCTTAGTTTGTTTCCTGTCAGCTTTGAATGTGCCAGATCCATATTTAATTAAGTTTTGTAACCAAGTGATTTCTGAAGTTGTATGCGATCTTACACCATTGTCCTTTATGACTTTTACTAAAAACAAGGTCATAAAAAACAAGGTTGAAGCATTTTTATTAGATACATTAAGTGAAAAAATAGAGAATAGGAATTCATGAAGCAACAAATGTGGCAACATTTTTAAAGAGCAGCTGTACGTGTGTAGGTATGGAACAAATCAAAGCCTTTAAATAAAAGGCTTAAATCATTCTGTAACTCTGAGGGAATGTGGATATTATCCAGTATTTGCCGTTGTAGGATTTCTGTTAGTTCATCTAAAGCAACTGATGGGTACAGCTAAAGAATACAAAATTAAATGGGCTGTGTGACTAACGAGGTATGCAATTTCTATGTAAATATTAGCATCTGATAAGGCAGCATGTTTCAGTTACTGGAGTAAGACTGAAATGACACGTCTTGGGTTACAGTATGCTGGCGATTCAGATTAGATTAATATTTTAAATGCAACAGCTTTTTACAGATTTAAATTTTGTGAATATTATTGCAATGCCTTAAATGTATGCAAAACAGAATACTTATGTTTTGACTTTTGTGTAGTAAGTGATGTTTGAACAAGTTTGGTGTCTGTTTGGATACCAGAGTTATTTTTGTGTATTTTTTCCATTTGTGGTATTATTTTTTTCTCTTATTTCAGAATTCATTTTCTTTAGAAGCTTAAAAATTATTACCCCTCATTAGCATGATGACCTTTGAACGAGCCATTGTCATCCAAAAAATAGCTAGGGTTTTTATTAATCTTGACTGTCTTGTAAGTGCAAAATAACACATTTATTAGAAGAACCTTTCTTCTGTACTTGTATGGTAGTGTACAGTGAGTGGTCTTACAGTGGTGTTGAGCACTGCATTATAACCAAATCACTGCAGTTAAAAGCAACCAAATGTACCGTGTCTGTCCAGCAAAGGACTGCGGTATGAAAGGCAGGTCCTTTTCATGGGAGCACTTCCTGTCTGCTGGCGTCCAGCAAAGGACTGTGGTATGAAAGGCAGGTACTTTTCATGGGAGCACTTCCTGTCTGCTGGGCTCATTTTGGAGAAGCTGAACAGTGTGGCAAGGCTTACCGTAGCCTGGGGATCCTGACTGGGAGGGTAGATGCTATTATCCAGTTACATGGTGGCTGAAGTGTATAAAGAGTGCGTGTAATTCAATCTGGTTCGATTGAAGACGTCTGAGAATAGCTTTGGAAGAGAACCAAATTCAAAAGATCCGAGTGAAATGCGGTCTCTGTAGTGGGCGATAGAGTTGCATTTGACCTAACGTATTGGCTGGTTTGTAACTAGTAGTGCAGTACCTTGCATAAAGGCTGATAGATATGCCAGACTTTTTGCACCCTGGACCGATTAGATTCTTCAGTGGTTGTCAGCTACCTGGAGGAAAAGAGCCACCTTATTTCCTTTGCTGGAGGTCACCCGATTTCTGATACACTTGGAGCAAATGCTTTGTGATGAGTAGAAAAGATGACTGGGAGCTCATATTAACTTCCTACCAAAGCAAAAAAAAAAAAAAAGCAGTATATTTTTGAGTAGGATAGAATCTGAACTGCCAGCCTGTTCTTTTATATTTCTGTTACTTTTCATTTGCAGATTCCTCTTTGTTGAGTGAACGGAAGCGAAGGGACCGAGAAGAGAGATTGAATATTATACTGTGGAGACAACCGCTTGTTACCTTGCAGTATTTTTTCCTGGAAACTCTAATAAACTTGAAGGAATGGACCATAAAGTAAAGATAATTTCTTTAACTTGTACTAAGCGTTCTGGGGAAACCCATGCTGTGATTCAGTAGGTCATTCTGACATCTCGCTTTCCCTGATGACTCTCAACTTTAAAATTCTTCTTTCAGAAAACATACTTGGTTTTGTACCTTAAAGGTGGCTACTGGAATATACCGCACTCCTAACTGTATACTCAGACCTTCTGCATAAATTACATAAATGTAAATACAGTAAGGTGTCAGTGGAAGAAAATTGCAAACTTCCTTTCTGGAGAGTTGAATATTCCAATTTGAAGGAGTGGGACAGTGTCTAGGGATCCGTAAGGCAACAGATACTGTACTTATGACTGCAGTGTTAAGTACTGATCTATTAATGTATATGTTAGTATCGCTGAATGATCTTCAAATAGCTCAGCTAGGCCAAGGTTCAGGATTACATGGAACTTTGCAGTGGTGTTTACGATCCTTCGAGGAGGACTTTGCTTCTAAGCTATGTGGTCCCTTTGACAGCAGGAAACGATTTATTAAAGCGCTTTCCCTAAGTATTTTTTACATACTGGATAAAATGGGCTTTTATTCCAGTTAGAAAATTTGCAAGTAGCAGTCCTAACATCCCCTACTAATGCTGAAATGCATAGCTATTTCTTAATGCACTAGGCTTGAGAGGGTTTAGAGTGTCAAAAGGCAAACATGAGTAAAATTGGCAACTGAAAAAGCCAAGAGTAGCAGCCATCCTAGCACTTGTGTTGGTAACTGGAATCTCTTGTGTTTGGGATTGAGTCTACAATCATTTTCCCAGTCAGAAGATAGGATCTAGTATCTCCTTGGGTGATTCTAGCTGTTGGACTGCTCCTTTGCAGAGGGAGCTGAGATTGGTGATAATGGGCTATGTTCATTGACCCTTCTGGGCTAGGTTTGAGGTGCTGATGCTTAAGATCCACTGAGAGAAAATTCTGTTTTCCATTTTGATCTTCTGAAATTGTTTGTATGAAAAAGACCAGATTTACGTAGTGTAGTCTTAATCCCCTTTTACACCTCCTCACCCCCCCAAAAAAGTCTAAGCCCCAAACCTACTTATTGTTTCTTTGAACTTTTTTATCCGATCTTACATTAGCCATTTTTGACAACCTCCAAGCATTTATTTAAATCCCAGCAGAAATAACATTTGAGGTCTTATTTTAAGCTGAGTATTACCTGGCTTCCTAGACATCAAATTCTGTTACAGGTAGCACTCTCATCTTCTGTTGTGCAGCACATTTATGTTGTCTAGCACTAAGATGACAGTATCTTTACAGAAAATAACATGGACTATTACAAGCTATTAAGTTGAGACCTCAGATTGACTCATAATGATCTCCTGTGTTCCACTTGAGTAAATTGTGATTCAAATGATGACAATCATTTGAAAATCCAATTGTCATACTAAAACAAGCAGAACAAATTATTTTAAAATTGAAGAAAAGTTAGAATTACTTTTTTCAGCTTGCTTAATATGAAACGTTTGTGACTTTTTCTGTATTACATGTCTCATTTCTGTATTTTTTTTTTCTGTCTAAATAGGTAAGTTATGTTCATAGTTTGCTCTTTCATGTCTGAGATTTTTAAGTGATGCTCTCACTTGTTTTTTTTATATTTTTAGGTGACAATATAATAGTGTTTCCCAGAAAATAATAAATGTATTTGCTAATCTACTATATGTGGCCGCACACATCTCAAGCAGAGTGTATGTAAAACTAAACAGGCTCAAAAGTAATTTGGTATCATACTACATAGGAAAACACTGTTCTCCCCTTACTGTGGTAGCTTCCTAATGCTTCATAATTAGCTAAAATGTATTTATTAAACTTTGAGCTGCTGCGAGAGAGATTAATTTCAGTAGATCAGGGGAACAAAAATAGTATAAGGATTTTTTTCCTCTTACTGTCACTGCGGTTCTGCCCACCAGCACACAATTTGAAATTAGCACGTCTGCGTTCCACCCACAGTTTATCCCTTGCCCAGAGCCAGTGCCTGCGTTGCACTTTGCTTAACCATGGATGTTGTTGATGGCTCTGTGTTTCAGACTCTCTTGGCTGCAGAAGCTGAGTATTTCTTTTCAGATTGTGTTTGTTTTCAGACAGTTACTTTGTTTTTCTTTACTTAAAAAGAAACACAAACATGGCTGAACTTTGATCTCACTTGACAGTGAAGCAGAGATTTTTCCATAAAGAATAAAGACTCCCCAGATATTTTCTTGGGAGGTTTATGGTTTTATAATAGCAAACTTTTCAGCTGCCATTGTCCCTGCTGACTACATCCATGCAGACCCAGTCTACAGGGATAAAAAAGTTACTTTGAAATGCATGCTAAATTGTGAAAAACTCTAATTGCCATTTGTCTTTTAAGATTGTGGCATCGGCGAAGTATCTTGGTGTCTTTTTTACTGACGCTTGCAGTGCTTACAGCTACGTATTACATTGAAGGAACACATCAACAGGTAGGAAGGTTTTCGAGTTACTTTCCTTAGTGACCAATACTTCCTGTCCTTGCGCTAAAGTAGATGTACTGGGAATTGGAATGGGGTCTTCATGAAACTGTAATGTATCTTTTGAACTCCTGCTTGCTGAGGATATTTGTTTCTCATGTCATGACTCCTTTCTGTTGCCTGTGGATGAGTTGTGTTTTAGAGATAGGGAATGATCAGCTATATAATTTGATCTATTCTGTTGCATCTGTAGGTGTTCTCCTCTATTCCTGAATAAGCACACCTCCGATGCTGCAGTACTCCTTCACATCTGCTGTTAACAAGCTTTTAATAGTGGTGTGAGCTGTTGAGATACAACGTTAAACTGAGTCATGATAGAACTTCGTGGTTCCCAAAAAATGTTTATTCTGCTTCTATGGAAGTGTCTCCTGACCAGCTAGGATAGATGTATATCTAGACATAAAATGGTTACGTGGTTCAAATCTGTTTTGACGATGCTTCTCATACCCCCATTGTTTTCAAATGGTTGTTTAAAAACTTTTTTTGTTCTTTGATGTACATGAAGACTGATGCTTTTGCATCACTTGAAGTGTAAGCCTATGCTTAAGCATAAGGTGATGGTGTTCTCTACACCTTTCCCCTCCCCATTTCTCTTTGAGTTTCAGATTTTCCCTGAGGGCGGACAGCCCTTTTAAACCCTGCAGAGCATTTCCTTGTGCAACTGAATCATCTTACCGCTCTGACTCTGAAATCAGCAGGTTCCCAGTTTCAGAGAACTTGCTTACATCCATACTGCTATGGTGTGTCACTGGCTGCCTGAGGGACATGCAGGTCTGGAACAGGAGTCCTGGCTTCCCAGAATGGGTCTTGAAATGCAGTGAAATGAGTTGCTTCGGCTCATCGCATTCTTGCTCACTCAATCCCATGCTTGACGCCTGAGCACTTACACGCAGAGCAAGTTGGTAGAATGTAAATCGATGGCCCGTTCCTGATGGACAAATACCTGCTTCATTAAAAACTGGGTCGGTGCCCTTGTCAGCACGAAGTCCAGAGCGTGATGCACTGAACATTTGCCACTAGATGGCCCTTGCAAACTGGCGTTGGGGCACATGGCCCTGGAGCTGGCTGCTGGGCATCCGCTGCGCCAAGGCTTGGCAGAGCCGTGCTGCTCAAGGTTGCCTTGAGCCTGCTGGGAGCAAACCTGTGCCCCTGGGACTGGCGAGGGGAGCGTGACCCTGCAGGGCCCAGCCAGTGCTGGGAGCTCTCTGTTATGGGTGGTCTCAAGTCATGTGTGCCAGCAGGTATCTGTCCATCCCCCTTCCTTCAGAGCTCCTGACCTAAAGTCCATGTCCTGCTGGTGCCTCTGCCTATCTCTGTATACCATATATACTTGAATATGAGCCACTTTCTTCCAAAACTGTCCTCAGAATAGTGAAGTATATTTGTGGTTTTCACTTGGCATTTTCAGGACCTTTTTACACCCTGGCAGATTACCAGTCTTAACCAGGCTTCAGACTTCATCTTGGTGCTGTTGGTCCAAGAATGATATAAAATGGCACCTCTTCCTGGGGCTGTGATGCAGACAAGTTGATGACCTGGCTCATCCTCTTAGTATTGCTCTCATGGCAGTGGGAGGGAGATACTGCCTCCCCTTTCTCCAGTGTACCCAACTGGACTTTTTATGTACAGAATTTGCTGTGACTTTCCCATATTCCCTCATTTATATGTGCAACTCACAACCAACATTTTTGTTGTTTTTGAAAAGTAACAAACCTGGTTACTCACTGGCCCAAGATAAAACATTCAACAGACTAACTGAGAGTGCAGCTAATTCTGTCCTTTATTTAATCTGTTCAGGCAATTCCCTGAGCTGTCTGCTCGCTGCTTGGGCTCCAGTAGACACTGTCTGGGGCTTGCTGCTCACTGCTCACACCTAGTATGCCTGTTCTGGATTTCAATCCCCTACCATTGAACCTGAGTTTTTCATCTATCTCCTTGGAAACTTGCTGATTCTAAGGCACGTGGGCTTTTCTTTTGAAAGTGCGCTGTTTTCTGTACATGTCTGTGCTGTAATTGTAATAAATTGCAAATAGAAGTATCTAGGATTCTATTTCAGTTGTTGTAATCCAGATAACTATCTGCATTAGTTTGTAGCTTTGACTTTCTCCCCTAGGAGATATCACCATTTTTGTTTGTTTGTTTTTTCTCTTTTGTGACTTCTTTTTCAGTATGTGCGGTATATGGAGAAAAAGTTATTCTGGTGTGCCTACTGGGTAGGACTAGGCATTCTGTCCTCTGTTGGACTTGGAACAGGTCTCCACACCTTTCTGCTCTATTTGGTAAGGATATTTCCATACCGCGTTCTTTCTAAATCGAGTATTTTATTTGTTGCCTATTTTTAAATATGTGAATAAAGAATATACCGTAAATCCTAAACGTTAAGTACTTCTGAAGGAAAAGAAATACTTAGTGTAATGCTTCTGGGCTGTAGTGAGTGCTATTCATATTCTATACTGTATAACCTTGTTTTATAGTTTGTATGCTATATGTTTGTTGAACTGTAGATATTGGCCTGCTGTTAATCCTCACTTAGAAACAATGAGGCAAAATCTGCAAGCTCTGCCCTCTAATTTCCTAATGTAAATGAAACATTTTCGAGTGTGTGTGGCTCAAATGTTTCCATTTAAAATTTTTCAGCATATGTTTTTTTTAGTAGCTTAAAATGATCATTTTTCTAGCTGAAACTGCTGAAATAGGCAGCTATTTTAAAGTTCAGTCTTATTAATTTTGCTTTGAAAATAATAGCAAGAAAAATGTTTGTCTACAAAGACGAAATAGTATCTGCTCTGAAAATTTGTATGATGTTGTTTATCTCAACTTAGCTAGGAAAGTTAGAGACATGTTTGGGTGTGTTTTGCTTTTGGCCATTGGATTAGTTCCTTGTTTATGAAACCACTGTCCTGGATTTAAGAGAGGGATTCATGGCCGCAAAATAATTAAAACCAGTTTATGCAACAAATGTCATCTTGTATTTGGAACAATTACAGATGTTTACTTTCAGAACTGCTTTAATCATTAACAATAACACAGAAAACACTACAAGAAACAAGAAACTCGTGCTTTTCCACACAGCAGGGCAATGCCTGTTTGATCGAATGGCATCTGTATGGGCTGCATTTGCAGCTGTCTTAGACTTACTCTTAGTGTCTTAGACTTACTCTTAGTGTCTTAGACTTACTCTTAGTGTCTTAGACTTACTGTTAGCGTAGCTTCTTTCCTAAAGACTGTGGAGGCAGAAAGTACAGGAGAATGGAAACTATTGCTAAACAGAAATCTTCCAGGCAAAAATATTGCTGTCAGTCTAAATGACTGGAAATGGAAATTCGGTAAAGCTGATGAACGCAGTGTCTATTAACATTTTTGTGTAACGCTGGAGAGTGCTTAGACAGCAGCGAATTGACAAGGTACAGATCTTTCTGACTCACAGAGACGATGCTGTTAGTAGCTTAGGGACAGTGAGACACATGGGCAGGACAGAGGGAGAATCAATCAAAATCATCAGTCCTGAAATGAGGTGCTCTGCCTCGCTGGAGAGGCAAATGAGCATCGAGTGATTCATGAGGTAGAGTCAAGCTCACAAATTCAGCTCACTTTGGCTTTTCTGCCAACCTACGGTGCAAGTGAAAATGCAGCAGAATGGGATCACCAGCTATTATCAGCAGGACAGAGAGAGGAAGGGAAAGGAAAGCAGTTCCAGGTTTGCAGAAATCAGTTGGTCGTGATTTAAGTTGGCAAGTAGGAAACAGTTTAAATCATAGATTTTAGTCTTGTTCTGCTTTGTATGTATTTTCTTAGGCTATCAACCAGTGAGAGTCAACGTGAGATTTCCTCTAACCAAAGATTTCACCTATTTAGACATTGTCTTTGAAGCAGTTTGGAGAGCTTATCATACAGTTCCTATTCTTAATTTTTACACGTGTTGTGTCAGAAATCTAGTAAATAAGAAACGTTATACGCCATTTCTAAACTATATTTGAAAGTGGATAGTGTTTCTTGGATGTGCATTGATCTGACACAGGGTAGCAAGAGTGCTGTCTTTTTAATACCCTAGGCCACTCCAAGATGATTTGGTCACATAAAGAAGTCTTCATAAGACAGCACCGCTTTTTTTCTAAAAGAAGGTAGAATGAATTGACCTTTCTTTTACTCTCTATTTAAAAATCCAGATGTTTAAATAGTTCTGAGTTACTTTAATAGAAAACAAATTAAGTTTCATAAGATATCATTTAAGTTTTCCTGTGGGATACATGAACCTAGTGGATATATTTAGGCCATGACCTGAGCTGACATTAAAGTAACGTGTATGCAAAATTCTATTGGCTTATCAGTATAACTTATGGTGGGTGTGTAGGAGGTGAACAGCCTTCCAAAGGTTACAGGGAGGTGTATCACCTAGGAAAAGAAATTTAGTTTAATATTGTTAGAGAAGGTATTTATTTGGAATGTAAGAGGGAAGGTTTCATGTAACTTTGTTAGGAGGGGAAAAATAGACAAAATAGGTTGCACTGGATATTTAGAAGGTCGTTATAGACTAAAATGTATATTAAAACTACCATCGACATCTAATATGTAACACTACAGGAGAAATACTTGTTTGCTTTAAATATGTAAGGCAGACAAGCATGTTTCTATTACACTGAGGGAATTCCGTAAAGGCAGTGAGCATAGGAAGAAAGAGAAGCAAGGATTCTTTTTCCTCTTTTCTCCTTTGCAAGCTTTAGTGATTAGCTTGGACTGTAAATTCAGGTCAGTTAACACTTTGAGCACTGCAGGCTTGTCTGAACACTAAATGATTCCTCAGTTGGTGGGATGTGTGGGCTTTGTAGCCAGTAGATGGCAGTGGGAGTGTAAAAATAGCAGTTTATTGCCCAAACACCGTGTTGCCATTTTAAGTACCTGAACTGTTAATGTTCTTGTCAGTACAGCTGTGTCAGCAATATCTATATGTAATATGCTATCGATGTAGGCATGCACTGCTCAGTATCTCCTCAGTTTGAGCCTACACCTCGTGTGAAAGGGAATGCGGAGTACTGACTTCAGACTGTTGGTGCAACTTTTAGGGGTGAATTATTTCAGAATATTCTTATTAAATCCAGTATTCTGGATTTAACCCATCTGGAAACAATGCAATTAGGAGCTCCAGCTTTCAAAAGGAGGAGTTTTTAACTAATTTGCTTTGAAAGGAGGAGTGTTTAACTAATTTGCTGATAGTTGTGCAGCAGTTGCCTCTGAAAGTAGAAATACGATAGGTTATGCGGGGAACTCAAGATATTAACTTTTACATTACTGTATATCCACTTTTCTTGTTCCATATACTTTAATTACATTTCTTCATTATGATAAAACTTCTTCGTCTATTGATTCAAAGAAATCAAAGGTTACAAACCAGTGAATCTTCTTCTGCTTTAGTGCCTGATTTGCTGGCAACAGAGAATAGACTCAGTAAGTGTTTTAAAATTGCTTATAATTAATTGCTCATTTTAAATCTGTATGTACAGTGAGATTGTTGGGAATGCAATTACATGCTTAGAGAACAATGCTCTTGGGCCCACCCATGTGCTGCTGAGCTCTTGTCGAGGCGTGCAGTATTGTCTCTGCCATTAAGGGTAGGAATTGATGGCATGTAGGCACCTGTTCAGACAGTGCGCCTCAACTTCTTCAGCTGTGACACAGGTGCATCTTTTTTAAATATAGCCCTCCATTTACTGCGTACAACTGATTTCATAGCAAACTGTTCGCAAGCACAGCCTGCTAGCTGGGCAAAGCGCAGAAGTAGTTATGCAATAGATGCAGTATATGAATGACTCTGGATGTTTGCTTTCCCTGGCCTGGTTAGCTGTTTTTCCAGTGTTGAAAACTGTCATTTGTCTGGATTCTTCAGAGCATCTCTCACCAGCTGCTTTTTGGAGCAGCATGAATGCAAGTGCCAGCAGAGATCCTGGGGTTAGCTGAGAAGAGAGTACTTGGAAAGAGTTTGCTTAAAGTAGATTTTACAGTCTAAAGCAGTCTCGGGGAGGGGGGGATGTTACTGCCCCTGGTTAATATCGCTTCACATCTGATTTGGATTTTGTTGGTCACTAGAACATTCTTGCTGCATACATCTAGGTGTAGGAGGGAGAGGTCAATTTTGTTAGTTTGATAATAGGCTTTTTATTGCTATTTCTGCGATTCAGGAACTTTCTATATGTTATGAAGGCTCTGAACACTGTCTGCTGTATTGTTTCCTAGTTTAATGCTGCTTCCTTAGTTGTAGCCAACAGTAAACGTAAAATTTTACATGGCTTTTTGGGAAACAATTCTCGTGCTGCAAATTGGCACTGAGCTAAGGGCTGGCACAGAGCAGATCTTCAATGCAAAAATAGGGAAGCAGGCCACTCTTCCAAGAATCCTCTTTATTCTGACGCTTTCAAAACAAGTCTACTGGCTTATTTTCCCAAAGTCCGTTAAAGGTTTTTCACAATTCTTTAAAAACAACACTTTAAAAATAGTAATCGTGATGTGGTTCTGTAGGAGATAAAACTGTTACGATTAATGACTCTAAATACTGTTTTTAGCAGCATGCTGCTTTTTTTTTTTTCCTTAGTCCTGAGATATTTTCTCTTCTGTTGGTGGTATATTAAAACATAAATGGCCTGAATCACCTAATTGCTAAAAGAAGATGACTGAGGGTAACTTGTCAGGAATTTCTTGCGTTTGTACATCCTGGAGAGGTCTGTTTGCTGCTGCAAAATGCAATGAATGAGGGGCCGGAGCGCCGGTGGACCGCAGGCTCCGGTGGAGCGGGGGACACTAGGTGTGGAGTGCTTGGTTGGGACTGCGCCGCCATTGCCATCGTCACCCAACGCTCTGCCTCGTGATTTGGTTTCAGTTCAGCTCTGGCAAATGAATTGCAAAAGATGCGACCGAGGCAAACAAAATCAGCTTAGAATTAACGCCTATCAAAAAGCCTTGCGCGAGAAGCAGATGATAAATGTCCCTTCTGTGTATGGCCTGTTGTAATCTGTAATGGGGGGGGATGAATGGAAGCGAATTCCTTACAGGTCAAAAGTGTGGAGCGAGCTTTGGCTGTTTGCATTTGTTTGTGTTTTTGTTTCTTAAATATGGATCTCTGCTTGCTTGCTGATAGAGCCAAGTGGAGCAACTGCTGAAAAGGTTTTTTTTGCTGGTGACCGAGCTGTGGACCAGCACAAACAGGAAACCTGAGGTACAATAGGAATGTTTTGTGTGCGGAGGTCACACGAGAGTTCGAATTTTTTCAAAACTGTAGTATGTGGGTTTG